AGGGGGAGGAGGAGGAGGAGGAGGAGGAGGAGGGGAAGGGGGAGGAGGGGGAACGGGGCAATATATATGTAGTAGCATGCCCTGTCCTAATGGCACGGCAGCGCGCATTGTGCACACACTTTCCAGTCTTGTGTGTCGACGTTTCTGAGGATAGGTATAGGACTAAGGGTCAGCTCTTATGGGACCACGTCATCTCCACCTTCCTCTCCCTCCTGCGTGATGGGCGCGTTGTGGGTGTTGTGGCGTTCCTCAACCTCGACAGTTGGTCCCATGATAGAGCTCAACCCACAAACCGACGTAAGATGTTGAGGTCCAAGTCCGTGCCGTGGGGTCTTGCAGCCTGTAGCGCAACAGATTGGGAGTTATTTACAGTTGATAACTCGCACTTGAGATCAGTGTTGCTACTATGCTGGCGAGCAGCCCTCGTCGGAGCCAGCGTCTTGTTACACCTCCCTCCTCCCCCTCTGAGAGCCTCTGCCCCACTTGCATGCCCGTGGGAGCTTCCAGAGCTCAAGTTCCTCACAACACTTCGAGGGACGGCAGGCTGCACCGACTCGGCTCGTGTGTAGATTGACATGTGCACTCTCGGTTCAGCGGCACAACGACCATCCCATTTCCTCGCTCCAAATCTTGGCGCCCTTTCCAGTTCCCTCACTGTACTCATGGGAGGATGTCGCTGCCGTCATTCAGCAGGTCACATTTCGGCGGGCGATTGTATCCAGCTCCCGCCGAGGTTTTGTGCTCTTGCGGCAGACGTGCTGTACGCTCGAGCTGACTCAGGGGCCTCGTTACAGGGAGAGGTCCCTGAGACGCTGCAGCCTTTCGTGCTGCAGGCATAATGGGAGAGCAAGGCAGGGTCAGGTCAGGATAGGTGGGCCCTCCTTGCTGCTCCGCTACCACCAGGCCCGTGCTCTCTTGCATGATCAGACACTGCGGTCCGCCTCAATGGGAGTGAAGTAGTAGTAGTAGGGGGAGGAGGAGGAGGAGGAGGAGGAGGAGGAGGAGGAGGAGGAGGAGGAGGAGGAGGAGAGGAGGGGGAGGAGGAGGAGGAGGAGGAGGAGGAGGGAGGGGGAGGAGGAGGAGGAGAAGGAGGAGGAGGAGGAGGAGGAGGAGGAGGAGGAGGAGGATCATCATCATCTGCGGCCTTCTCACGGGGGGGGGGGGGCTCTGCGCACGGGTTCGGGGGGGGCCGCAGCGCCCTCGGAGCAGCGTTCTCACATTTTTGTGGGGGCCACCATCGTTCGAAGGCCTCGAGGGCGACTGCAGGATCTCATCGGCCAGTGACGATGAAGATGACGATAGAGTGCTACCGACGGTAGTAACACGCCTGAAAGTTGCAACGAACACCCCCAAAACAGCAATGAGACAACAGGTGCACCTCTGCTGTTTTTTTTCCTGAGCGTCGGTAACGGGTGCTCATGCCGAGAACGCAGACCCAAAAGCCTTGAACCCTGTACATGCTGAAAGGGATGAGTCAAGCCGGCAGGCACCACAGCACAGAAAGAACAACCGGCAACAGGACATGGGAGTCCGCACGAGCCAGCCTGCCATGTGCGAGTTCATGCGATGAACCACGGCCTGGGAGACGCGGCAGGGCACGCTGTAGGCACACGTCCCCCAAGACCCGCATAATCCAACGTGCGGGAAGTCGCAGATCCAGCCGCTAGTCAGGGCAGCGGAGCTGTGGCAACCGATCCCACACAGACGATACAAAACATGCAAACAAGCGTGTGTTTGTGACACGCCAATGCCCGGGCGCGCAGCTGTGCAGACCACACAAAGTCACGAAAGACAAGTCTACCTGCGTGGCCCAAGCCCTGCAACATCCTGCCATGGCATGGCAGAGTAGGTCAGATCGCCTCGCAACATGCAATCCCCTCCGCCCCCGTCTTGCTGTCGTTCGGCACCCCGTAGACTACCTGACCGTCAGCATTGACCTCATCCTCGATGTTGTAAACCCACATGGCCATCGACGATAACGCCAAAGACAACCACTGAGCCAGGGGCATCACCCGCGAGGCACTGCCGCTCACGAAACCGAACTGGCCGAAGATGCCGAACAGGTCTCCGCACAGCACGTTCCCGATGGAGGCCCACGTCGCAGAGAGGTACTTAGTCAGCCACAGCATCAACAGGTTGAAGAACACGTTGAAGCAGAGGAAGCAGATGAACCAGAGCCACGCCGAGTCGGTGGTGCAAGAGACTTGGGTAGGCGTTGGCGCGTGGCCTGTGAAGCAGGCCCACGAGCCAGCCAGATCTGAACCGAGCGTCGCAGGCGACTGGGCATTTGTGCCGCCAGGCACGGGGTACGGGATCCAATTGACCCCGTACATGAGGAGGCCCCAGAGCACCTGGAAGTTGCCGGACCAGAAAGTAGCCCACATCAAGTCCAGGTCGACACCTTTTGTCACCTTCTGCTTGTAACAGCCACTCGCGGCCGAAGGAACGACGCCAATGATATAAACCAAGTATGTGATGGCCATGACACCAGTACTCGTTTCGATAACGCGACCATCTGAAGCCACTGGCTCAGGAAGGCCGTCAGACGCAAGCTGGACATTCACAGCGACCACGCAAGACATCAAGATCAACAAACAACCGGCGTAGTGCACTTGCTTGAAGCGCGAGCCCAAATAGAAATAAGCAATGAGCGCTGTCCATGCCACCACCGTGTTGTTCAGCGCCACCTGCTCCGCATCGGCGATCCAGACTGATGGGATCGCCTGGATTGCAGCGTTCAGCTGGTCCCAGAACGAGAAAGTGGCCATCCAGATTATTGGGACAACCCCTCTCGAGGAAGCCAGGGGACTGGTTGGGGAGAGAAAGGCAAGGCTGTAGCGCCCGTCCTTATCCACATAGCGCTTCTTCACCACGTAGCCACTCGTGAAACAAGCAGTGATCACCTGCACGGCCACGGGCCAGTACAGGTTCATCAGAGTTGCAGCATACTCGTTCCCCATAATCTTCAGCACACGAATCAGGAGGACGCGATCCAAGGCCCGTAACACCACGTAGAACGTGAAGACGATTGGCACCATGAACCTTTCGACCTGTGCCCAACCGGACGCAGGCAGCTTCGAAGATACGACAGAACTTGCTCTCGCCGTCGTTCCTGTAGAAACAGGCGAACTCATTGTCGGAGACAGAAGCTTGGCGAGCTGAAACTTTAATTAAGCAATACCTACTAACACCACCGAGGAGGGAGTGAACGTAAAATCAGGCGAAGCCAGCTTGAGCCAAAATGGCTACGGACATCTGCTCTGACATGCCAGCAAAACGAGGATACGTCGTGCGATGCGACGCATATGTCACCAGATAGTCCTGAGAAGGCTCAGTTGGAGCCCACAGAGGCACACGAAGGCATTCGGGAAGCCTGCGGAGGCATCCTGTCCCCCTGGCCCATCTCTGCTCCCTTCGGAATGTTCGAGCAACACCGCTACGTTGCAACAGAGGAAATCACGGAAACCTCCTGCGGGCCATCTGCAAGCCAGCACAGCGTGGATGTCGCGCGATGCGATGCGTATGCCACCATGTAGTTGTGAGGAAGGCCAGTTGGAGCGATGCAGACGAAGGCATTCGGGAAGCCTCTGGAGGCATCCTGAACATTCTAAGAATTCTTGAGGCACCCTGCAACCCCGGGCACATCTCTGCTCCCCTCGGAATGTTCAAAGAACACATCTGCACTAGTGGATGTCACGGAAACTCTTGTGAGCCATCGGAGAACCAGCACAATGTGGATATTCTGTCGCGCGATGCTATGAGTATGCCACCATGTAGTTTTGATTAGGCTCCCTTGGAGCCCACAGCGGCACACGAAAGCATTCGGGACACCTCTGGAGGCATCCTGAACACTCTAAGCATTCTTGAGACACCCTGCAACCCCTGGTACATGTCTGCTGCCTTCGGACTGTTCGAGCAGCACCGTTGCAACAATGGAGGCCACGGAAACCTCGTTCGAGCCATTCGTAAGCCTTCGAAGACAGGGGGGGGGAGGCGCGGGGCCCGGGAACCCACTCCCTCTGGAAGGAAGGGGGGGCCGCGGATGGGGAACCCTGGACCATGGGGACGCACGGGGACATGCTAGTGCTGCATGTCCTCCTTGGAGGCGCGCGTCCGACCCGAACATGCGGTATACCCATCTTGTAGCACATCGTTTCCCGAGGAGCGGTGTGGCCAGAAAGCGCCCGCCACGACGCATATACTGTAAGATTTCTCGGTGCGCGCGTCGCCCCGAGTGGGGCGACGCACATCTGGTATAAGTCTGTTGGGGTGACGCCGAGACCAGACAAAGAAGGAAACAGACACAAACAAAAACGTTCTGGCATCGGCTCTGGACCCTCCTCCCTGGCGCGCGGAGGGCGCCTGCGGCGGTGCCAGAGGCAACGCCAATCGAATACAGCGCCGATCCAAGAAATCCGCGTGGATCTCAAAAGTTTATGTGTAGGCTTGTACTCTTCAAGACAATAACAGCTGACAGGCTATGCACAAAGAAAGGGTACATCATGGCCCGTCCTTCGCCTCCGCGGCGCGTCTTGCGCTGCGGCTCGAGGAGGGGTAGGACTCGCCACTGCTGCGCGTGTTGCGCACTGGACTCGCGTGGCGATCGTAATGCGAGCCGAAGGTCTGCCGGATCTGCGACCTGAAACGGGCGAGCACGAGGACGACGACGATGATGATGACGGTGGCCACTTACCTCTTGCTGCCTGTCATGTCTACCAGCAGCGACGCTACAACCGGGGCCCAAAGCAAAAGAGCGTGGCGTGATGGAGAGAGCTCCAAGCGAGCCACAGGATGAGAATGGTAGATGGCAGCCAGAGCAGCCATAAAGCATCGAGCGACCGCCAATGCTCGGAGAAATATATCACCACTGATTGTCACCCCAGCCCGAGTAACAACAAAAACATGCGAGCCCCAATTGGTTCGACAGTCACTTCAGACGTGTAGCCATGCAGAAGCCGACGACAGAGCAAGCCACAAATGCATCGAGGACTAGCCTAAACTGCCTAGGCCCCCGTACAGAAGGCGAGCAGTTCACTGAGTGGCCATCCCACCGTAGCATTCGAGAATCCCAAAGTCTGCAAGCGTTTGCCCCCCAACGATCGAAACACTCATGTCCCCCTGTTGCCTTTGCACATCTTCCACAACATCAAAACTACGATGTGACAAAGTGGACCCCAAGTTTGCCAATTGTTTGATTTCAACGTTCGATTGACAGTGTTACTACGTATGTCAACGTTCTCCTGGACAGAACTGTCGCGTAGAGCGAGCTGATCAGCAAGGAGAGCTTCGACGTCCCCCAACGCAGCGCTGGTCTCTCTCCTTTGGGTCTGGTTGTACTGGCACGTGCTACCTCTGTGTCGGAGGTCGCACAATCTCTTCGTCGCCTCATAATTTTTATCATACCTGTCCTGGTGCAAACTCAACATATGTAAGCTCCGACTTCTCCTGTCGTACATACAACGGGAACCCCTTGCCAATTTCCTCGTCCACGTACGGGTACCTATCCAGCAGACTTCACACATGTACAGACCCCCGCTTGCGGATCAATGTCGGTGCCAGGTCCAAAGCCACTTCATCAGGGAGCCGCTCCCACCACTTAGTTTGCAAAGCATTGACCCAACGCTTTGCAAAGTAAGTTCTCCCACTAAGAGAACAAACATCCATCGAGTTGGAATAACTGATATAAGAGGGCCCCAAACTCCTGTGATGGCCGATCACGGTATCATCGCCCTCTAGAGTCTGCTCAAGAAGATGGCGTTCCTTCCCACTGCCTGGCCCAAGCGGGGGCAAGCCAGTCTCTCTCACTCTCTCACGGCCACGATATAATCGGGTAGCACGCCGTTTAGGGTGGAGAGGAATTCTGACCCCTTCGGGCCCAAGCAAGAAGCCTTTTGACCCTTCTGGCAAGAAAGTGGAAACGCAGGGTGATCATCCTTCGCCCGTTGGAGTGATATCGAATAGTCGGATACCCTACTTGCGATCGGGCATGCGGGCATGCTGTTTTCCTCTCCGTAAAGATGTATGGCGAGAGACGTTCACCTGCTGTTGGCGCCTTACAAGCTCTGTATGGGTATGTTGCTGTTGCTTCGCCTGGGAGCTCGTCCTTTAGAAAAGATCGCGTACAGACTTCCGCATTCAAACAACACCATGCGACATGCTTGCACGAAATACAAAAGGTACAGTGCGAAGACCCGCTTGCCAGCTCAAGAGAAAATGCTTGGAGTCAAAATGGATGACGGCGACGGCCCAGTGCCGTGGCCCTGGCCCCAAAAGTCGGGGGCGGGCGAGCTGCTGGCCGCGGCCGAGGCTCTGGCGCACGCGCTGCCCCCAGTCCACCTCTTCAGCGACTCGCAGCTTCTGATCGACGGCTGGGAGGCAGCTCTTCTGGCGCCGTGCCTGTGATGTCGGCTGTGAGCACATCCAGATAACAAAAGTGAAAAGGTCACGCCTCTATGGATAATGTACATAGCTGCACCATCAACCTTTGGCAGCGGGAAGGAAACCGATGTGCCGACGCACGCGCACAAGAAGTCGCGAGCTGTCACCCATTCTGGCCCGCGCTCGCAGAGGCCGCCGCTACCGCTGACGAGTGGGGGGTGAGCTTGGGACGTTGGGTGGGGTTGGCGGCGCAGGAAGGAGACAGTTGGCTAAGGGCCGATGATGGTTTCAACGCCCCTGGCCTTACTGCGATCAGATGCACGTTCCCTGATTGTAAGCAGAGGAGCCTCGCGTCGTGCGATCCATGTGCTACTGTCACAGATGAGAGGACATGTGGTGCAAACCGGCACCAAGGTGCGCAGAGAACGGATGAACTCTTTTGGGCAACGAGGGCCAGGACGAGCAATCAACTCACACGCTAAGCCTAACGGCTACGATACAGATCCAAGAGGGGAGAGGCTCGGAAGTAATCTGAAGGGCCTCTGGGTCTCTCGGGAAACAGCGGGTCCTATTTTCGTGGATCGAAATCCGTACTCCGTAATCGATACGTAAGCTGGAAGCCCGGGTTCTAGCTCAATACCTTCTTCTCTAAGAGACCCTCCTCGGTGACCTCCTGACTCCTCGGTCTTCTCCTTCCTCACCTCCTCGCTTCCCTCTACCTCTTCGTAGCCTCCCTCAGGGACCTCGGGAAGGCAATCGGGGGCAGGAGCTCCGGGCACCCTAGCCTGCGCCGCCAACGCCTTACGGGACGCAGCCCGAGAACGAGATTTCAAAGACAGGTTCAACGCACGTTCTGAGCAATGGCCATGTTCGTCCACTAAACAGAGAGTACCACGTGTCATCACATCGTGCAGAGCAGCGTTACCACGACTGGGATCGACCTTTGTCATACTATCCGCGGGCATGAGACCATGCGGCAACCATCTCAACTGGGAGCCTATGCTGGACAAAGAGTCACGCACAACCGCCATCTCAATAGCATTGCGACGATCGGCGCGGGATCCCGCGCTGTTCTTTCTCAGAGTATCAAACACGCTTTTGGCGTCCACCACCGACAGAGACGACGCCGAGTCGCCTAATTCACAGTCCTTCGAGAGGACCACCGAAAAAGGGCCGGAGGAAGAGGCCCAGTCGGGCCTGGACACGTCGCCGAAAACCGTGTCTCTCCACAAAATCTGAAGCCACTGAGCTTCCGCCAGCGCGCCGGACAAAGAAAGTGTCTCGGCAGCGATAGTACTCGCCACTACTCTCTTGAGACGCTGCGACCGCCAAGCCAAAAGGCTGACCCGGGCCCGATGGTTTTGCGGGATGGCGGCGTCCGCCGCGAACACCAACCACCCAGCTTGCGCACCCCCGCGCCTCGCGGATCCAGGGCCCCCGGCGTCCGACGCCGTGACAAACGCGGTCGACAGCGGATCCAGATTCCATATCGTGATATACTGAGACGCAAACGCCCGAAGGAATTTGACAACCTTGTTGGCCATCAAGGCCTCCTCGATCGAGGGAGAGGGGAGAGCCGCCGCCAACAGGGAGGCACTTCCGGCCAGATCGGGCCTCGATTCACGAGCGAGCCATTGTATCTGAGCGACAGTAGCACGATACGACGCGATCTCCGACGACGTAAGCAACTCCTCTGGCTTGGAACGGCGATCTTTGGGAATCACGATCGACGATAACTGCTCACGAATATACTTCTCCTGATCGACCGTGATCTTGGACCCAACCTGCTTGACGTGCCTACCTGCGTAGTCGGCCTCTCCGACCTCCCACTTGCCAAACTTAAACCGAGCGAACAGACTCTCTTTCAGAGCAGCCAGTACGACCTTGTCGCCTGACACGATCAGGTCGTCGACTTCTATGAGAATCAGGGCCTGCAACTTCCCACTGGCCGATCTCTGGAGCCACAGGCACGGCTCGAGCAGAGAACGCACAAAACCCAACTCCTCGAGGTATCCCGCGAGAGTGCGATGCCACAATAACGGGGCATCATTCAGCCCGCACACTGGAGCCACAAGTTCTATTAACGTCTCAGGGGGAAGATTCAATCCAGCACACGCTTCCACATAAAACGCCCCCTTCGGTCGATCTAATCTGTTGCTCTGACAGAACGCGTTCTTGGCATCTGCGATGCCAAGTTCCCACCCGATCGCGGCGATCACCTGTAGCGCCACCATGATGGTTTCTGACTGGGGGGTTGGGGCGTAAACTTGTAAACTCTCGCCGCCGGGATCTTGATGCCCATGGACGCGCCACCTGCTCTTCGCGGTGGGCATACTGCCCACGCCCTCAGACGGCTTGAAACGGCGCACCATCCTGGACGACAGGATTCTGTCTGGATGGCGGCGTCTGGCCAAAGGAGACTCGTCGGGGCTCAGGACGCGCGCAGCACCAGTGGCCGTCATGGCCGACCACTCCTTGGCGTCAGACTCGACAAACAATTGACGCTCGGCTGGAGACAGATTCTTAAGTTGAACCTCCGCTCCTCGTCGGGGTACCGGTGCGGTCCCCACGCCCACTCCACTGAAACAGTTCGCAAAATCAAGGAAAAAGGATTCTCCGCCTTGGAGAGCGAAGAACGCAGTGTCTGACGTAACTCCCCGAGCCATTAGCTCATTCAAAAGTAATCGATCTTGGTCGCACTCCCCCTCCGAGTGCTCCTCACAGACGAGACCTAACACCCTTTCTCCCCGGTCGTTACGTCCCCAAGTTGGTTCGGGCCAGTCACTAGGTATTACGCCCGACGGGCGGACAGGAGATATGCTCCTAGGACGCCCCAGCGCCCGAGCAGAGGTTCCACCTCGGTCGGCGGACGAAGCGGTGGCAACAGATGCAGATCCTGCCGTCGCTCTCTGAGAAGTTGACGCCGACCCCCTCTCCCACTCGGACACCCTTTTTGCAGCGGGCCCTGGTCCCGAAAGGCTCTCCACAGGAGTGAGAGCGATCCCTGGGGTCCCAGCTGAGGCCTCTCGAAGAGCCTCCTCTCTACGGGCTTTACTGGGGGGAGGGCCGCTTTCCGTCGAGGATTCCGCCAGCCTCCGCGGCGCCGGGCGCGCAGGAGCTTCCGCCGCATCTTCCGCCTCGGAAGGGACCTCAATAACCTCAGGGGGGGGTTCTCTCTCATTCGGGGCGTCGGCCCCCGCAGTGGACGGAGCTTCCGAATCCCTGGGATCCCGATGAGCCCGAGTCGATCCTTCCGACTCG